GGGGGGGGGGGGGGGGAGGGGGGGGGGGGTGGGGGGGGGGGGGGGGGGGGGGGGGGGGGGGGGGGGAGGAGGGGGAGGAGGAGGTGGAGGGGGAGGGGGAGGAGGAGGAGGAGCATATACGGGAGGTCGCGGAGGATTAAATACGGGAGTGCGGGGTGTACCTGGCGTCTGTGGTGACGAATAGGGGGATGCAGGAGTTGAGGCATTGCCTTCGAAGCGTTGGAAATGTGATTCCTGAGAAGGTTGAGAAGAGGCCGGGGACTGTGGAAAATCATGAGGTGACTGAGGCGCTTGCGGTGAGAATGGAGACGGTGGTTGAGGAAAGCCCGGACGTATTACTCGACAAGGTGTTTGCGCAGGCAGACGTACCATAGTTTGATGATGGGGTGACTGAGGTGTGAGACTTCTAGGGGCTTTGAGTGAGGGCGTAGCGAAAGTACTGCGGGAAGGAGAGGCTAAGGAAGTTAATTGACTCGCGTCCTGTATCAAAATTTTAAAATTAATATTAATAAACTAATATATAGATTATTTTATTTTGTATTTTTTAAGCAATTTGCGAATATATTGTCGGTTTCATTAATTTGCATGTAACATATCAGATAAATCATATTCTAGTCTCGGTGACTTAAAATAATTTTATTAAAGTATTTTATTAAAAATATACATTATTATATAGTTAAAAATATAATTAATATATAATTAATTACAATATATATAATCAAAATAGAAAAATTAAACAGACTTACTTGGGCTGTGGAAACTTGTAATTGTGTCGTTAATGCGGGTGCAGTATCACTACTTAGTTGAGGTGCATTTTCTTCACTGATTTGTCTATGTACTCTAGCAATTGCTTTTAACAGAAAAAAAAAAATATTATAATTGCGATTTAAATTATATTGACATAAAATTTTTCTTTATTTGTTTTAAATAAAAGTATATCAATTTAATTAATGAACTAAAATTTTGTGTTTTTAATCATATAATAAATTGTAAAAATCGTTTTATTTCTTTTTATACATCTTTAATTTTACTAAATTTAGATTTATCTCTAATAAAATATACAAAATATAACAGAATAATGCTCCAAACTATTAAGACAGAATTAAATATAGTAAATGTACCATGTACGCGTTGTTCATGGATGACTTGCTGCTGCAATTGTGCTTGTTGTTGACGTAATGCTTGCAATTGTTTCCACTGCCTTTCCTGCTCAGCTTCTCTAGTAGACCGATCTCTGTTTGATAGTCTATCCTGTTCCTGTTGAAGATCAATTACATATAATTTTCAAGCTATTTGTTAAAGAAGGTCATTACATTTAACATAATTATTTTTAATAAAAAATATATTGCTTTTATTAGAGCTCTATAATTAATAATTTTAACAGTAAAAAATTACAATTTAAAAAATTAGATTTAATATTAAAATTATTTTATTATATTTTTATTTAATTTTACCGTATTGTAATATTTTTTTTAAATATTATTAAATTTATATTTTATTTAATATTAATCTTAATCTTGTGAATTAAACGCAAAATTTAATAAATATGCATCTAAAATTTATAAAGATATTTTTGTAATTACATTCATATAAATTGTTCAAGAAATCAATTTTTAAATGTAATAACCTTTTCTTATAAAGCACAATTAAATATAAAGCACTAATTACAATCAGCCAATAAAAACTATTCATATACATAATGTTGGCCAAAGATCTGAAAAAATATTCAAAGAAAACTAAGAAATAAAAATATTAACTTTCTTAATTCGTATTTCCAAATTACATGAAAAATAAATATAATTTCAAACTTTTGACCATTGCATAAACACCTTTAAAAGTAACAACAATAATACACAATTAAATTAATAATTAGCAAAATTCTGTAAATCTCGTACATATGCAAACACACCGGAAACAAGTATAACCAGCCACCATAATTTAAAGAGATTAATTTATAATATTAGTACATTTATACACGCACGCCCGCGCATATTAATAATTAGTTTACTTGAAGAAAACTTTATTCACAGTAAAAAACAAAAAAAACTACAAACACCACAATCTCACCGAAGATTAATACGACGATTCCACATTCATGCCTATCAAAATGTTGAATAATTCCAATAATTTTACATAACAAAATACAATCATAATAAAATGTGTGTTATGTATATAGAATTATAGAGTATATCAGATACATATGTAGAATACACCGTTTAATATTACTAGATTCCTAACTAAGGTCATTTAAAGATAAAAATCTTAATCTGAAATATTATAATTATATAAATAGTTCAATAAGTTTTTATTTAACCCTTAAACGCCACACTACAAAAATACACTTGAATATGACATACCCAATCAAATTCGATTGCTTATAACTTTCACAAAGATGAACATATTGTAAACAATTTTTTTCAGTTAAAAAACTAGATATTAAAGAGCATAATGGTGCAAATATATGTACCTGTATTAATACAAAAATTATAAGCAATAGAAAAAGCATTGAAAAAGCATTAGAAAAAGAAAAGCCGGGTATGCCACCGAAAAGGCGGTTAAGGGTTAATATATGTATATAAGCATTTTTAAATAAAAGTTAAATTTAAAGTTATGGCATTGTATACATACAAGTAGTAAAGATATCCTTAGATATAAATATAATTTAGTGCGACTGATTAGAATATAAAAAAAATTATTAGCCAATGACACGCTTCAATTTTGACGCTGTTGGTGTTTCGTGTTTCTAATATCAATATTTCATAATGGGTATTTTTGATAATATGTACAATAAATTATCTGTAGATAACGTTTTTTATTAAAAAATTCTTATAATCTGGATATTTTAAAATTAAAATTTTCATCTTTAAATAATTTCACGTATTTTCTATTAAGGGTCCTCTACATAGAAGTCGTAGATGGTCGTGGAGTCTTAAGTCGTAGGAAACCAACCAATCAAATATAAGGAGAATACTCGATTGGAATTGTTCAGTTTCCTACGACTTAAGACTCCACGACCATTTACGACTTCTATGTAGAGGACCCTTTAGAAAACATGGTAAATATAGGATATCTTCTCAGAATGTCTATAGCATAAAAATAAACATACTAAAAATTAAAAAATACATCATCTACGATAATTCTAAAAACATAAGAAACTGTAAGTTCACAAAAGTTAGAAAAAATTCCTGTCTATTTGTTTAATAAATTGTCATATAATTCCTTTTTTTATTTCTTCAGATTATAATTTATTCGCTACATCCGTTTGTTTGCTATATCTTTCATTTTAACTTTAAAACAGATAAAAACAGAAAATTTTTAATTCTGTGAATTCTTGTAATTATTCGTGATAAGGAGGAAAAATCTGAAAGTAATAAAATTAGTACTAAGCTACTGCATAACCAGATATAGAGCAATATAGTATAGTATACTAATTTATCATTCACCCACAATAATAAAAAAATCATAAGCAATATCAATGGATTTAAAGGATAAGAAATAAATAATGATTCATGAATCAGGATTGATAGGGATACAAATAACGGGATAGATTATAAAAGATATGCTACTATTTTTAAACATGCTACTGGAATATTTTTGAATTATAAAAGAAATAAGAAGTATACACTACCAAATACTTTCTATTACAATGGTGACCTAACAGAAAAAATATATATGTATATATATGTCCAGCATTCTATATTAAAAAAAATATTTCAATTAAATAAATTCAATCATATAAAATCTAAGAATATGAAAATAAATACTAATTAAAAAATTAAATGTGTGTAAATAAACTCTTTAAATTCTTTAAGACAAATGTTGACAATGACACTAAAGAAAACTATAATGTAATTTACATATCAACCACGGCCCTATAATATAAAGCATGAAACACGTATTTAAGGAGTAAAATCTTCGTTTTTTAACTAAAAATATTTTAAATATAATATATATACATGTATACAAGAAGAATACTAAGTCTCGATTAGATGCAAAAAGAAAGGCAAGAAAACACTACGAAGGCTCTCACCATGATGTTATTCGGGTGGTGGTGGTGATGGTGGTGGTGGTGGTGGTGATGGTTCTGTACGGGAGGCACAGTGTGAACAATTGCAGTGGGTGGTGGTGGCGGAGGTGGGGGGTCGTAGTGCTCCTGGCTGAGGGACGGAAGGGTGCGCATGATCTCGGACGGAGTGAGCACTCGGATCTGATGCTGATCTATGCTACTATTCCCGCTGCCGCTGTTAACGACAATCGGGGGTGGACGTTGCTGGAGGGGTTGCTGCCCTTCACCCGAATTATTGCAATGAGAAAAAGAAGAGGAAGAAGACGCAGAAGAAGACAAAGAGGACGAAGAAGCCGGTGTTGTGCAAGATTGCAAAACGGATGACTGTTGGTTTCTAGGAGCTTCAGGGGAGAGGGAGGGGCTGGGCGGGGTTCCCTGCACCCCACACACCTCCTGATGCTGATTGTTGCCGGTTGATGTCATTCCACTGGTCATCAACATTCCTGATTGCTTCTCCATGGGCCTCAAACCCACTCCCTGCTGCTGTTGTTGCTGAGCCGTCATAGCGGCAGGTTTGGTGATGATGGTAGTCATGGCGGTGGTGGTACTAGTAGTGGTATTCATATTGATGGTGGTGGTATTGGTGGTGGTTATATTGGTTGTGATGATAGTGTTGGTGGTGCTTGGTGGTGGTGTCTCCTTGGAGAGCTGTCGGATTAACACCGAGCGGTTCGCAATCACACGATGCGATATACACATGAGGATATTTCGCATAAATCTTATATAAAAACATATTTTATAACACTATTTCATTTTTAAATTCTATCACATATATATATATATATTTTTTACAAAATAAATTGTATTAATAAAATTCGATATTTTGATAAAAGACTTAAATTTCTCAAGACTTTTGCGCGCGCGCAAGCAAAAGTTCTTATATCTTCTGAGACATATCCAAATCAGCAAAAAAGAAATAAAAAAGAAAAAATTCCTTTGTACGTAGATGTATGAATTTAATGAGTATTATTAAGATCCTCTTATCATTCTCACACAATATTCATTTTTTTCTTATATCTCAATACATTAATAATTTTGTCACTTGTTGATTAATAATTTTGTTCCAACTTTTCTAGTATGTTCAAAATTTATGTTTATACTGAAATAATATAAAAAAAAAAATAGTTTTATGAGAAACATCCTGCATGTAAAAAATGATATAATAGGCCCGAACGAGGCAACCTAAGAATAAGTCGCATTCGATACGAAATTTCGATTATTAACATAAATTAGTCTGCTTTGTACGAAACATATAAAAGCAAGGTATATATATGGATTTTCTGGACTTTTATGGATCTACGTGAATTTGTGAGGATTCTTATTGGATATATCTAAATAGTATGTTATACCGATTGTGGTTTTAAATATTATACATATCTAACTCTAATTTATAAAGCAGCGAAACAAGAATGGGTAACAAGGTTCCATTCGTCTACACACTTATGAATCGATAGATTTACAGATTATAAATTAATAAATTGATAAATTTGTAGATCCACATCAAGCACATGCAGATCTATAAATTGGATTTATATAAGTCCCAGATATATATCCCAGATGTTTATATATGTTCTGATTTTAATGGCCAATTTGTACTAATTTTTTTGGATAAAAAAAATTTTTATATAACTTTTAAATAAAACTTCTGTAAACACATATTCATAACATTTTTTTTCTTAATTTGATTCATAAAACATATTGGCATATTTTAATTGTTAAAACTTGAGATATTCTATTTTTATGTCATACTATTCTTTTTTTAGAACTTTGTATATACTTGGAAATATTTTTATAAATATTTCTATTCTTAATTTTTACGCATAAAAGAGACAAAAAATTTTAAATAAAAAATTCCTCTTCACCTCATTTGGGCCCATTATTTAGAGACTCGTTCACGTTTAATTCTACTTATCTTCGAGCATGAGTGGAACCTATTTGTATTATATTAACAGCTTAAAATATTTTCTATATATAATATGTCGAAACTAGGTACAGATAAAAATTTAATTATAATTTGGAATATTTTACATCATAACAAATCAAATTAAAAATTTTTTTCGAGATTTTTCTTCCTTATAAATTTCATTATCTTTCAGGTTGTTTTTTTTAAGCGTAATTATTTCTAATATTGTAAACAGATTTCGTCATTCTATAATGGCTGTTCTCTCTCTCATCTTATCTCATTCATTCATCCACAATAAAATTCATATTTACACGTTTTTAAGGTTAATGCATAAATATGGAGTGAAATCCATTTTATTCATCTTCAAAAATTATTCTGATTATCTAATTAATTTAAATTATTTTCAACTATTATTTGATCTTTAAATCTGTCAAATAATTGGGACATCCAATCGTCATAAAAAATGGACATTATTTCATTTTAAGAAACCAGTAAAAATCCTGAAGTTCACAATAGAAATGTAGTTTACGACACACAGGACTGTCGAGCTGTTAGTTTCACTTGAATGTTAGCACAAAACACGCTCGAGAACAAAAACCCCAATGAAGAACGTCTAAAAATACTGGTTATCCCAATAAATTATCGCGCTTCTCTCAGTCATAAATTCTGATTGAAGAATTACACATAGAGAAGTAAGTGCGATAATTAAAATCCGTTTTTCTTGTTTCTGCGCATATACATATATTAATTACCTGTTGTGTTTTTTTCATGCGAACCGCAGCACGATTGTCTCGAGCTTGAGTCAAATATGGGGCTTTCTTATCAGTTGGAAGTGCTCGCCATTTCTTCAGAATTTGTTTACATCTCTCGGCCCATACTTTGTAAAATAAAAATTCATTCATTAAAATAATAATATTTTAAATCGGATATAATATCGAAATTTAATTTGGCAGAATCAATAGATGAAAGAAATATATATTAAAGGATTTTAATAAAAATAACAATTCTCAAAGATGAAATATTTAAAATACTTAATTAAAAAGCGTACTCTTACCTGGAAAATCAATTTTCCATTCAGGATGATTGATATTAGCATAGAGAACAGAGGATATCGTCGCTGCAGTACCCAATGCTTCGTCAGCTTCCATCTTTAGATTGCTTCTTTGGTTGTATGAAATGGTAGCATTGCCTGTTGGAGCATTTCCTTCATCTTCGGGATTTACCCATGGACTAGGAGGCTCCGAAAATGCTGGACTAAACTGTGGACTACTAAAAAAATTAAAAAATAATTAAAATTATATAGGAATTAAAATTAATATCAATGTGTGCACATATACATACAGTTTTGAAATCAATTTAATTTCAAATAAAACAAAATATAATCAGAAGAGCTACGAGTCAAAACAAAATAAATTTTAATGTATATATGATACAATTGACATTAAGTAAAATAAAAGTAAAAACAAAATAAAAATATGTCTACATCAATTTAATTTCAATATTATTTTCAAAATGTGTTTATTCTTACTTGCTATATTCAGAGTGGTATGGTGAAGGTGGTGGGAAACTCATTGGAGAATTTAAGTTTGATTGGCCAACCGAAGGTAGAGCACCAGGTACTTGAGGTCTTGCTAATATTGCTGTTTGAATACCTATAAAGCAATTAATTTCAATAACAAAATATAAAATGTATAATTATAATAAAAAAATAAAATAATCTACTTCTAATATTTTTATAAACTAATTTTCTTATTTTCTTATAAAATGAATATATAATTCAATTTATTTCAATAGTACAAAAACACAACAAAACTGATATATCAAGATATTCAAACTTGCATACTCAAATATTATCTTAGAACATATTTTAGCTCTATATATTGGCAAAGTTGTATTTTAAAAGCACAGCTAATTTTTTAATTATGGTTTCCAGTAGATAAATTTAAACGTAGAAAAAATAAGTAAACTACAATCCAATAACTCATTATTAAAGATTGCACAAATGTGTAAAAATTTTTTCAGACTTTTATGCAGTCCGGAACAATATAAAAATCTGCACTAAAGTTCGGAAATTCAAGTTGCAGACAAAAGGTGAAAATTTAACCTTGCTAATGAATGTCACAAATTTATAACATAAATAATGGATGCATTCAAAATGACAACCGTTTACCGAGCGCAGTTTAGAGCTCTTTCATCTGATGTCTAGGATTGATCTAATGGAATATGCCAATCAAATGAAAGAACTCACTGAGCGCTCAGTAAGCGGTTGCCGTTCTGAATGCATCCAATATTACTTAATAAACAACTCAATTTTTTTACATTTTTTCTTTAATAATTATTGTAATTTTGTCGTTTTATTTTTTTATCTCAATTTTGATTTAACATTGTTAATAATATTATTATAGTATATAATTATTATTTTATTTAATTATACATACATACAAGATGTTTCATAACATGTAGAAATAACTTCAAAAACAAATTCAGGACATAAAAATAACATAGAAAGTTCCTATAAATGTTTGTACTATCTGACCTCGTTTCCAAGTTACAGATATTTTTCGTTACCTACGTCCTGAATTCGTTTCTGAAATGATGTCTACACGTGAAAACACCTTGTATATTTTTAGCAAGTATTTACCGGGATGAGGAGAGGGTGACACTAGAGGAGTAGTAGATGATGAGGGATGCGAAGTCTGAGCTTGGACAGAGAACACCGATGATTCCTGAGACTCTTGAGATTCATCAGTCAGAACGCCTTTAAATATTTCCTCGATATCTTTACTGTCCATATTAGGTAAGCCTAAAAAAAACAAGTGTTCAATTCTATATTTAGCTGACTATATTTTAATGTTCTACTAAAACAATATTAAAATTTTAATAAAATAATATATTCTGTTATCTTAATATACACTACGACAAAATATTTAATGTTTACTTGAAAAGAGCTTACCAGTGTCTCTGACCATCGACTCCAAATTAAAATGTGGACTTAAGATATCCGTCAGTTCATCTTTACTTCCACCTTGAGCATCATCCAACTCGTCCAGTGCTTCGCTCGCTTTGGCTAAGTCCTCATCGTTTTCGTTCATTATTGTATTTACTAGATCGCTATCCAATAAATCCCCGGAAATAGGTAAAATATCTCCAAGTGCTTCAGTATCACTTCCATCATCTTCCACGATTTCTTCTCTTTTGATTTGCTCAGGAGCAATTTTTTCATCGTCTTTTTCTTGTTTTGCTTTGACTTGTTCCATTACCTTCAATTCATCTTGAGATAACTGAATTGTATTGGCATTTTCAGGGACTTTATGTTCTTCCTCAGATTCGCTGCTGCTTTCAAGATCTTTTTCTTTCGTTGTATCCATTAAATTCTTACCAAAAAACGCTTCTTGCATATAAATAGGAAAATATTCCGCCAGTTTTGGTTTTGGCTTTCTTCTCTGAGGTTTCCTTCGGGGTTTATCGTCTCCCATTCCTACGATTGAAGATTCTCCAGGTTTTTCAGCATCTCCTTCTTCTTCTTTGTCTTTTCTGGTTCTCAATCTTACACTAAATCCTCCAATACCTAATTTTTGCAGATTTCTTTGACGCTTTCTTCGTAAGACAGGAAGTCCATTTTCTGAAGTGCAAATGCTGAAGCCTTCTGGAGGAGGTTGGTTCCATACCATACCTTCTTTCAGCACTGTTTCTGGTTCATCTTTAACATCCATCAATTCCAATTTGTTATTTTCCTCTAAAGAATTGTCTAAACTTCCTCCAGCAACGACAGATTCAATAGTCGCCATTATATCTGCTTCTTTATCCACCATTTGGGGTTGTTTTCTTTTCTTTTTTCTTGTTTGCTGATGTTCTGCGGTTAAAGATTTGATATGATTCATCCCTACTTCAGAAAGATATACTCCTTCCATTATATATTGTTGCGAGGAAGTTTTAAACAATTCTATATTTCGATTTTGAGGCGGAGAAGATGATCGAGTGAATTTTGAGGAAGGTTTAGAGAGAAGATGAGGAGGGGGAACATCTCTAGGACGACAGAGAAGACAAACATAACCCTCCTCGGCACAGCGTTCGGCATCAGCTTCGCTTTTAATTGAATCACAACCGCAGTGAAGCCATCTTTCGCATTGTACGCATTGAATGATGAGATCACCCTCCTGATAAGCTTCTTGACAAGCTACGCAAGCGGTATGAGAAGCACAGGGTCCGCATTGAGTGTAACTTTTTTGCCAGGATGAATTAAAACCAGGATCGTTAGAACCACAAGTCTGACATTGCGCACACCATTTACACTTCCATGTACCGTGCGGCACATAATCTAAAGGCGGATCCATACAATAAATGTGGTAGCTGATATCGCAGTCGTCACAAAGAATCAAGCGAGCTTCATCATTTCGTTCACCACAGCCTTAAAAACAAAATATTCTATTAATACTAGAATGTCTAATAAAATCCTTTCAACTCATTACAAATTTCTCGGGTACATAATGTTAAAAAATAATAGAAATCAATAAAATTATCTGGCAAGATATCTTATAATTCTATTAATTTTTTTACCACTGCTGAACATCTTAAGTTATATACTAACACTTTTAATGCGTTTTAATACATAATATATTAGATTCTATTTTTTATATATTAAATAATAATATTATAATAAATTTCATTTCAACAATAGCTTATGTAAAAAATTAATTAAGGAAAATAAACTTTTATTTTTCAACTATATAATTATTTATTTTTTTACTTATTTTCAAGATTTATGAAACCAATAATACTAAATCAAACATTTTAGAAATTGAAATATATATATTTTAATTTTTCAATACCTTCACAAACAGTACAATCGAGACATCGCCAGCCCTTTTGCAAGATAACCTTAGTGATCTTAACGCCAGCGCAATATGGGTGATAACACTGACCGCATTGTACACATGCAATCAAACAACCTTCCTGATCCATACCAATCGAGCCGCACATCACACAAATATCCTGTGTAAGAACAAATTTATCTTTGGCCGAGCACAAGATCAATCTGTTCTCACCCCCAAGCTGTTCTTCTTCCTTCGATTGGGATGAATCTGGATTCGGACTCTGCGATGTTAAAGAAGAATTAATTTATTTAAGTTACAGAGAAAGTTATAGATCCAGTTATATATTATACAAGATATTTTAAAACTATCAGATGTTCTTATAATAAGAAATTAACTAATTTGAAATTAATATCTCATTAATTATTACAAAAATTACGAAATGATACTTTTTGATTCAATTTAGTCCGTCCACAATAGGTCATTACCGGACAACCCTGTTTATAGAAATGTACCGGATATTCGGGAAGTATTCGGGCATCCAGCCTTACCGACCCTTTATTATTATCTGGCCGGATAACCGGATATCATTAATACCGGCAATATGTATACAGGATGTTTCAGAAACAGTTGGCCGAACTCTAAGAGCATTGTAAGAATAAAAAACTCATTGTAAGAATAAAAAAAGTCATATAAACATGGGTTCGGAAACGCCTTTCCAAGTTATGAACATTTCTTATTTAAATTGTACGTATTTACGTCGGACGGCATGCCTCGCTTCGACGTTTCATGAATTGTACTTCTATTCACCTTCTAAAGTAAACAAAGAGTTATTAGATAAGTCTATATGGAATTGGAATCAGTCTTTATTTAAGTATTTAAGAGTGAAGATAGTATTAATCAATATGGCAGCTTATTCTAACATCAAAGTACTCCGGAAGTATTCCGAAATCGTATTATCGCTGCGTGTGATAAAATACGAAATACTCTGAGAATTTTTGAATGTCTTCGACAATCCATGCGACGTCGATGTGAAGCATGCATCGATGCGGAAGGAAATCATTTCCAGAAATTTCTGATACATTACTAGTCTATGCATATACACATATATGTATCAGTTAATAAACTACAAAAGAAAATATAGATATAAGTATAAAATAAAAAATAGATACAAGTATAAAATAAAATATAAATATAAGTATAAAATAAAATATAGATATAAGTATAAAATAAAATGTAGGTATAAGTATAAAATAAACAAATGTTTATAATTTGGAAAGGAAGCGTTTCCAAACTCATGTTTATATGACTTTTTTCATTTTTACAATGAGTGGAATATGCTCTTAAAGTTTGGCCAATTATTTCTGAAACACCCTGTATATCTGACTAAAATTTTATATTGAAAGTTTATGTTATTGATGCAGAATTCTATTCTTTCCAACTAAACTTCTTGCATAGTTCATCTTTCCTTTTTTTCTTTTCACGTTGAGGAGATAAAGAAAATTATTATTGCTATTTTTCTCTTGCTTTCCTTTTTTCTTTTTTTTTTCTATAGCGAATTCGGTTGGACGCATTAATGCGCACTAGTGCATATTAAAACCATTGTACACTAATTTAATCTGCGTAATAATAAAGTGCAAATATTTCGAATTATAAAATAGAACTTTTACTTAACAGCACAATAAAATGTATTGAGAATTTTATGGTGTAATCCGTTTTTATATTTATATTAAACACTCATTTTTACGTCAATTTGTATAAAATGGCTTTAATGTGCTCCAGTGCGCATTGAATGCATTCAAACGAATTCGCTGTTGGTAGAATGGAAAAATTGTCTATGCATATACACATATTCTATATATGAGTTAATAAACTACAAAAAAATAAAAGCCAAAGTAAACATATATGTACACTAACAAATCGATTTTGGTAAATATTGAGATGGAGGGAGCCCAACGCCGATTACTGTGACCTTGACATATGTTGTCGCGTGGAAAGTCGTGCACCTCTTACAGGAGGGGAGGAGGGGTGGAAATCGCTTCGCATGGAAAGTCACGCGCCCCTTGGCAGGGCAGGCGAGGTGGGATAAAAGTCGCTTCGCGTTGAAAATCGCGCGCCCCTTGGCAGGGAGAGAGTTGGAATGAAAGTCACTTCGCATGAAAAGTTGTACGAGGGTCACTATTTATATTTTGAGCTTAATAATAAAAATAATAATAAAAAAACAATAATTTGTCATTTATTGTTTTTCAAAATATTCTCCTTTATGATCTATACACTTTTGCACGCGTTCGAACCACTTGTCAAAGCATTTTTTCCATTCCGCTTGAGACACCTCCAAAATATGGTCTTTGAACGCATGAACGGCTTCTTCTGCCGACGAAAATCGTTGTCCACGCAATTTATTCTTGACCTTCGGGAACAAAAAGAAGTCATTTGGTGCCAAATCAGGACTGTACGGCGGATGACCCATTAATTCGATTTTTTGAGTGCTCAAATAGTCGGTTGTTAGACGAGATGTGTGACAGCTGGCATTGTCTTGATGAAGAATGATCCGACGGCGCTTGCTTGTTTTCCTTATTTCACTGAAGACTTCCGGCAAACAAATGTTGTGTACCATTCAGAATTGACCATTCTACGTTCCTCTAAAGGCACTGTTGCCACATGATCAGTTTTTCCGAAAAAACAGGCGACCATTTGTTTCGAAGTGCTTCGAGCGCGAACAACTTTTGTTGGATTTGGTTCATCTTGAAACACCCATACAGTCGACTGCTGTTTAGTTTCCGGCTCATACGCATAGATCCATGATTCGTCACCTGTTACAATCTTATACACGTATTTTGAAGCACCGCCATTGTATTTCTTAAGTATTTGTTTGCACCAATCGACACTAGCATTTTTTTGAGATTTTGTCAGATTATGTGGGATCCAACGAGAACAAACCTTTTTCACGGCTAAATGATTATCCAATATTTCATATATGCTGGTGAAACTAATGTCCAAGGTTGTCTCAATCTCACAGTATGTCACATGATGATCTTGCATTATTAGTTTTTGCACAGCATCAATGTTTTCTGACACAACAACTGATTTTGGACGACCTTCACGACTTTCGTCGGTGAGCGAACGGCGACCACGATTAAATTCGTTATACCAGCGTTTCACAATGGCAAAGGATGGGGCTTTATCGCCAAAAGTGGAAGTAAGTTGATCGATGCACTCCTGTCTTGATAATCCACGTCGAAAGTCGTAATAAATCATTGCAAAATTTTCACGAGTTAATTCCATTTTTTCGCTGAGACACAATTTTCAAGTGACTGTAAACAATACAAATCGCGCTCAAATAACAAAACGTTCTGAAGAAAGTTATGGTCAAAAATGTCAAACTTTCTAGTGGAAACGTCCGATGGCACCTGACAACACTCAGTGTAGCCAAGGCTCAAAATATAAGTAGTGCCCCTCGTATTCCTTGAATTCGTCCATTTCATATTTCTCTCCCTGTTTAAAGTTATCTGACTCATGTAAAGCAGGAAAATAATTACTAATTTTGACTGTTAATAACTTTTTAACGAATAACGAGCGATGACTAAAACCTGTTCAGGATTATGACTTTGACAACATATGTCAAGCTTATCGGCACTAGCTCGCTTCATCGCGATATTTATCTCGATTTCGTCAAAAGCAATTCTTTTAGTTAAAAAATTTATTTATTAATACCAAAATAAAAAATAAAATATGAAATTAATAAATAAAATTCTTTGTAAATATAAAAATAAACATTAAAAATCATTTTGAAGTGCCACATACCTGCAAACCCACTTCTGGCACTCCATAAAATCCTCTCATTTTTCCCTTGGGCCCTCTCTTTCTTCCAAACTCTGTCATCTTTTGCCTCTTTTGATAACCCAGTTTTCCAATACCTTTGGGCCTACCGATAACTCCGCCGCTAATCCCCAATCTTTTCTTTGCGATCTTTGTGGCACAGAACGGTTTTCCTTTCCCTAATCCGACTGAATAAAGCGCTTCTTCGGAACAACCACTTGGATAATCTAACTCAGAAGATTCACCGTCGAGACTTTCTTGCGAAGCACTTAGACTTAAATCGCCTTCATCAATACTGTCCTTCCGTCTGGCTACCATGGCGATGCTCTTACAATGCAGACAAACATATTCGTAATCCGGCTTCGCTTCTTTGCGCTGCTGATAAGTAAGCGGATCTGCTTCGGGATCGCATGTGCCATGCACGAACTTCTTGCAACCATGACATTGGACCATTTCACGATATGCCGCAGCTCTACAAAGAGAAAAAGCAACAAATAATAAATAAATAAAACCATAATAAAAATACATACAATAACACAAATTATAAATATATATAAATCCTCATATACTTGAATCAAAGCTTTGGAAATGATAATGTCAAAATAAAAAACAATATATAATTAACAAATGGTTATAAAAATTTTACAAAAATTAATCTTATTTTACTTAACTTCAATCAAATATTATAATTATTTATTTATATAATACAAGAATTTTGCAAAAGTGAGATGTCTCGGTTACCTGTATGCCTTTCTACAGAGTGGACAAGAGAAGCCCTTGTTACGCTGTTGATAGCATGAATCACAGACGGTATAATGAGAATGCCATCTGGACGATAGCCCAGCTCCAGGAGTACGTGAACCACAATCGGTGCACACGCGACAACATTTGCACTTCCAGCCGTATTTTGGAATAGAAGTGACAATTGGTCGCAAACAACCGGGATGATAAGCCTTGTCACATCGTTCACATAGCATTACCTATAACAAAAATCTTGTTTTATAAAACCATCAAAAAAAGGTGTGTGTGTGTGTGTGTGTGTGTGTGTGTGTGCGCGCGCGCGCGCGCGCGCGCGCTGTGTGTCGTCAGGGTTGTGTGCGTTACCTCAAGAAAGTAACGCGTTACCATTACCGTTACTTGAAAAGTAACGATTTGTTACTTTTTCGTTATTTTTTTTTATAATGCTAAAGTAAGTTATTAGATTTTAAAATTACATTAACTGATACTCTTAATTTATAATACTAAATGTGAAATAAATATTCAAACTTGAAATTCTCTAGTAACTAGTTTGTATATAGAGCAAGCTCTTCTCTATATTAAACTTACGTACAGTTTTACTAATTCTTTATTTTACTTAGATAATATCGTTATTTTAATGTACTCATTTTTATAAGAATTTAGATTAAACAGATAATAGATTAAACATTGTTTTTAAACGTTAATGTTCTCTTGTGAAAATAAATCGATGAAATCTTTATCAATAGACCCATTTCAGTATAATTCATAATGAAATGAGTCAATTGATAGAGATTTCAGCGATTTTCAGCGATTTCAACGCTTTATTTCCATCATGGTTATTATGTGTATTTCAATATTTATTGTTCGTACCAAAAATTTACAGTATATGTATATGTAACGTAAATTATATATTTTCAACATTAGCAGCGCTTATTAGAACACAGTATAAGATACTATGCAAAATACTTTTTAAGAAATTAAGAATAAATTATAAAATAAGAAAATATAATAGGAAACTAAAGTAACGGTAAAAATAACGGCTAAGTTCGTTACTGTTACTGTAAAAATGTAACAACGTTACCGTTACCGTTATATACAGAAAAAAGTAACGATCGTTATTACAGAGTTTTTGCAATACTGTTTATCCCATATACAGTGAACGCTAAAGTCACGTTATCTTTTTCTTAATTAGGTGTGAAGAAAAAGATAACATGACTTTAGCGTTCACCGTATCTGGGATAAACGGTATTGCAAAAACTCCCTATTGAAAAAAGTAACAAAAACGGTAACATCTTACAAGTAACGCGTTACTTCCCAACCCTGTGTGTGTTGTGTGTGTGTGTGTGTGTGTGTGTGTGTGTGTGTGTGTGTGTGTGTGTGTGTGTGTGTGTGTGTGTGTACACACACGCGCGCGCGCGCGCGCGAAAAATGAAACTTAATCATAAAACACAGACTTTGATTTTGCTGTGATACTATTTGAGTAGTCAATAATTTTTTGTTAAGTTGAAAAATTACTGACTACTCAAATAGTATCACAACAAAATCAAAGTCTGTGTTTTATGATTAAGTTTCATTTTTCATTTCTCTATCTGTTCTGTATTTATTTGAATTTCTATAACCTTTGAAACATCCTCGGGTTGCCGACAGACTTGACATACACGGCAAGACACGCACTGCCATCCAGCACGCACCCCAGGTAATAATGCCAAGCCCACACAACTGCCGTGATAGTGTTGGCCGCACACGGAGCACATCACTAAATTCGAAACATCGCCCATTCCATAACATTGAACGCAAGTAACTTCTCCGCACACTATAAATGTAAAATTATTTTGCATTCGATTAACTTCTTTAAAATCAAACAGCTAAAGTATTTACAAAATTTTATCTCTTACAAGTAAGCACCGTAGCTAAAAATATTTAGATAAAAATTATTTGATTTTGAGAATATATCAGGTAACAATCATACATATATGTGCGTGTGTATATGCGCGGACACACTATCGAGTAAATTATAGCAATATATTTACTCAGCATATACATAAAACGCATTTAAAACAAAGTTTAAACAATCCTATTTGTACATGGGTAATACAATTTCAACAACAAAAAACTCTAAAAAAATAGGGCGAATGAGAGTCAACGTGGTAATTAATACGCAATCTTAAATCCTCAATCCAAAAATAGAATCTTTATTCCAAAAAAATAGTACGTTTCAGTTCACTTTGGAATCATCTTCAGCAAAATAAATTTAAAATATCAATCCCTTCATGTTAAAGAAAAAATCACCATCAGATTAGCAGATTTGATGTTATAATCTATTCGAAACATTAAAATTATCTTATAAAGATTTCTATTAAACAAGTTTCAAATTAACAATAAAACTAGTGACTCACCCCAAGACATAGAAGGAATTCGTCTCAACATTGGATCAACTAATTATAATCAATATTCACTAAAAATTATTATATAATATTCACTTAAAATGGGATAATCATTTCTTAATAATTACTAACAATATGTTCAAAATTTTTTTGGTGATATTTAGGATCCGATAATAAAAACGCTCTACCTGTCATAACTATTATTATGCCTCTTTTTTGTGAAAATGGGTGTGCCGATAAAAAATTAAGGTATCTTCCCGAATATAGACTTATGATTCGAATAGATTATATTTTATAACATCAAATCTGCTAATCTGATGGTGATTTTTTCTTTCACATGAAGGGATTGATATTTTAAATTTGTTTTGCTGAAGATGGTTCCAAAGTGAAACGTACTATTTTTTGGAATAAAGATTCGATTTTTGGATTGAGGATTTAAGATTGCATATTAATTAGCACGCTGACTCTCATTCGTCCTGTTTTTTTTTTTGGAGTTTTTTGTTGTTGAATTTGAGAGAGTCCATAAGAAGATTACATTATTACTGTTTGGTAATATTGGGTATGGGAATAAGTTTCCGCCCTTTTTGAAAAGAAAAAGATGTGTTTATTTAAACAAATCTATATAAATGAGTTTATTCAAAGTATGCTCCTTCGGAAGCGACAACTTTCTCCCACTTTTCCGGTAATAAACAGATTCCTCGAATGAAAAAATCTGGTTCTTTTGAAGCGATCCATTCATCAAACCATTTTTTGATATCTTCATAAGAATTGAATCGTTCTCCAGAAAGGGCCGACTGCATGGATCGGAACAAATGGAAATTTGAAGGAGCAATGTCCGGTGAATACGGCGGGTGGGGCAGAATTTCCCACTTTATTCCTTCCAAGTATTTCTTGACCGGTTTTGCAACGTGTGGCCTAGCGTTGTCATGTAACAGAATCAGCTTGTTGTGCCTGTTGTCCCATTCCGGTCGTTTTTCTTTCAAAGCTTGGTTTAAACGTATCAATTATAGTCGATAACGATTGCCAGTGATGGTTTCGGACGGTTTGAGCACCTATGTGAACCTGGCACCCGATTTTAAGAAAAACAATTTTTTTTATATACATTGGATAGAGCTAGGTTTGTACCCAATTGTACCACCGTTCTTTTCGTTTGTACCTCAAGGGGTTGAGAGAAAAAAAAATTAAAAAAAAAGTTAGCACCCCACTTTGAGGTAATGAAATTTTTCAAACGCCATCAAATTCAGAATCGTTTGTACCCGTTTCTACCGCAGTTCATTTCGTTTGTACCCTCAAGGGGGTGATTGTACCGAATTTTTAAGATAGGGGTGAGAGCTAATTCCGCCAATTTTAAAGATATCTTAAATCTGTAAACGGGTGCTGTTTCGGCATCGCTTGTAGACGTTTGTACCACCGTCGGTTTCGTTTGTACCCC